TGTCACGTGGCTGAGTAAGTCCAGTCTGCAGACGAGTGTGGGGTCCTTCCCAAACACCTGGAGGGCGCCCGTGGTGCTGCAGCTCTAATACAGTGAGGACCCCAGGGGCTGCTCGAAACTGCAGCCATCAAGACAGAGTTTGACATGCAGAGCTCCAGAGACAGTGAGGGTGGGAGATGGACTGTGGGGTGGTGTGGAGGCAAGGAGCGGTTGAGAAGATCTTTCCTGGCTTTTCACAGAAGGGATTCCCACAGTCTTCACTGGAATGTGCTTATGAAGGGTTTTACCTTTGATGGTGGAGCAGGTTGGTTCTGTGTGTGAGACAGAGACACTAGGGGTGGCTTCAAAGGAGGTGGCTGTTGGATCCATTCCTACTCCAACTACTCAGGACCAGGTCAACCTTCTTGTGAATTCTCCCGGCTGACCCCTGCGAGCAAGTTGGGTATGATTTGGTGGCTGTTCTGATGAAGAACCTGAGGCTCCAAGACAGTGAGAGACTCCAGAGGAACTCCACAGCCTGCAGCCTGGAGCCAGGTTTAGAGCTACTCATGTCTGCTCAGGATTCTGTCTATCTGAGCTGGAGTCTCTCCTTTCCTCTACCCTCCTTACTGCCCCCATTTTCCCCCTCTTTGGTCCTGAGGCAAGGGAAGCCCAGGGACCTGAGAGGATCCCAAGCTCTGGAAGAAGAGGGCAGATCCCAAGCTTAGCCTCCGACTCTTCCTCCTTGGGTGATGGCATCCCCTGGGGTCAGTCAGGAAAGGCTGTTCTGCTGGCTCCTCTCTTAGTCAAGCCCCAGCTGATGCGCCTGGCTCCCCACTGCCCTGGCCCTCTGAGATCCCCACAACTCCTCCTTCCCTTCCCATCCCTCTCCCAGCTGCCTTCTCACCCTTCAGTGTTGGCACCCTGGATACGGCTGGGCTGACTGAGCACATCTGGAGAGTGGGCAGGGGGCTGCCAAGGGAAAAATCAGGACCTTCTCCTTGTGCTTCTCCTTGATTAGACCAGCTTTAAGGAATGGAATCCTGTCATTACTACGTGCTAAGTTTCACCAAGGACGAAATGTTGTGGAAGTACATGGGAAGTTTTAAATTAACAGCCAGAATTCACCTAATGCTTTCTTGGTGCTATGAAGAGATACACATTACCTGACCTGATCTGCACAATAGCTGTATGAGGCAGGAACTGTTATTCCCATTTTAAAGGATGGAGAAATTTGGCTGGGTGCAGTGGCTTACGCCTGTTATCCCAGCACTTTGGGAGGCTGACGTGAGAGGATGGCTTGAGCCCAGGAGTTCGAGACCAGCCTAGGCAACATGGTGAAACCCCGTCTCCACAAAAAAAACAAAAAAAGTTAGCTGGGCATGCTGGCCTGTGCCTATAGTCCCAGCTGCTTGGGAGTCTGAGGTGGGAGGATTGCTTGAACCTGGGAGGCGGAGGTTGCAGTGAGCGGAGATCGCACCATTGCACTCCAGCATGGACAACAAAGCGAGACTCTGTCTCAAAAAAAATAAATAAAAATCAAAAAAGAATGGAGAAATTGAAAAACAGAATGTAAATAACTTGCCCAGGTCACACAGCTAACATGGCAGAGCTGAGATTTGAACTCTGTTCTATTGTCTCCAGAACCCAAGTTCTTAACCAATACAGATCATTATTTTGCATATGGGTGCAGTTTCAGCACATGCTTACTTACATAGGGCCTCTGTTTTATGGGCAGCTTGAATTCATGCATACCCACACATTCATTTTCACTGGCAAACTGTGCAAAATGTCAGCATTATTTCTTCTGGATTTTTCCACACTGGAAGAGATTGAATGGGGTCATTTCATTCCTCCCACTGCCGCCGACCTGGGCTGTGTTTAGCCTTCTGGAAGGAAGCCTGTTAGTTTGGACTCCTTGCCTCTGGGTGAAATGAAACCTTGGGAAGCAGCCCTGGCCCTTTCTCCCTGTGTAGTGAATTACTGTCTGAAGGTAGCAAGCAGCCTGGAGGGGTGATCTGGTCAGGGGCATTCACTATATGTCTTACGGGTATGTAGCAAGTGCAAGGTGCTAGCAAGCTTCTGGGGTGACACACTGATGTATAGGTCTCAGCTCCTGTCCTCAAGGGGTACTCAATACGCATTTCACAAGTAACTGAGCATTTAAACGCATAGAGGACTTGGGGGTGAGCGCGCAAGTTGCAGGACTACAGGGAAGAGCATATTAAATATCACAGATTTCTAACAGGAGCATGTGGGGTATGTCTCGGGGAGTAGGGATATGCCTGGAACTGAAAGCTGGAATTCTGTCCTGCAGGGTCTTGACTGCAGGACCAAATAGTTTGGATTTGAGTCTGCGCATTGGAGACACTGATTAGGTGCTCGTGTGTCGGGTGGCTCGGAAGCTTTCTAGGAGGCTTCTGTAGCATTCCTGAGGATGGAAGGAAAGATAGGCGACATTTGCGGAAGGAAAAATCCAACATGAGTAAGTTGGACAGGAGCAGGGATAGTTGAATGGAGAAGCCAAAAATAACTGAGGCTCCAGGTAGGGAAGACAAGGAAAATGGCATTGGAGGAAGGGGAAGAATAGGGAAATCAGAGGGAGAAGCAGTTTGCGAGGAAGGAACTGAGTTTGCTTTGGGGCTTAGAGTGTCCTCTGACTCTGCTCTAGGTCTTATCAGCTGTAGCTGAGTGCTTCCAAAAGGAAGGGGTCAGTAGAGTGGAAGCAAAGAGGCCAGAGAGAGGGGCTGTCAACAATATGCACGGCCTCCCACGGGCTCTGTGTCCTTGGCTGCTGCTGCTGCCACTACTCAAATGATGGAAACTCTGGCAAATCCTAGGGCTGCCAGGGTCTGGAACCACCATTTCTTCTTGCCTGTCTTAGGGAAAGTGCAGAAAGCATGGGCAATCTCCAAGCCCCAGCAAAGGCCTCCTTGCCCTCAAGGGCAGTCAGTCCTCCACTGTCCTGTAGTGCTGCTTCTGCTGGCTCATTGAGAGCCTGGCTGGAATCTCCCATCCCTGCCAGGACCAAGGTTGGCAGGGGAGGATTTGACCCAGGGCCTGGGAGCGTCGGCTGCAGCCCAGCTCTACAGAGCCTCTGTGCCTGCCCTTCCGATACCTCCACCTTCTGGGCTTAGCTCTGTGCATTAAGACAATCCAGGGAGGTAAGATGATCCCACGGGTCTCTAGGGGGCTTAAGAAACAGATGGTCTCCACATATGAGGTTTGCTGTTGGTAACTTGATCAGGAGCTGGGGAGGGAGCTGGCAGGACCAAGGCAGCTTGGGCCCAGGAACTGGGAACCTTGTGAATGTTACCAGACACCAAATTCGGCCCTCACCCAAGTCACCGTCTTAGCACCTTCCAGCTGGCAGCCGGGACTCGGGCCTTCGACACCCACAAAGGGGCTGGGAGAACTGGCCCCCAGCATCCCACTCTGGCTTGGCCAGGGCAGCAGAGCCAACTGGGCTGAGAAGGCAGGAAGAGTGTTGAAGCCAAGTCTGAGAACAGCTGAGAGAGGACAGGTATTTGGGAGGGAGAAGCAGGCTGGGAAGTGCTGGATTTTTAGCAAACAGGAGTTTCCTGGCCTCCTTGTCTCTCTCCTGACCAGTCAGATGTGAACAGCAATTACGGGAAACCCCAGGCCTACCCTTTCTGTTGGGGAATCTGAGCTCTTCCTTATCTCCTAATGCCCTTTTCAGCCCGTCCTCACTGTCCTGTAGGGGACAGAGTAGCCTTAAAGTCCAGCTGTGGGTGCAGGTAGCACACACCTGTGGTCCCAGCTACTCAGGAGGCTGAGGCCAGAGGACTGCTTGAGGCCAGGAGCTAGAGGCTGCTGTCCGCTATGACTGTGTCTGAGAATAGCCACCGTGCTCCAGCCCAACAAACATAGCAAGACCTTGTCTCTAAAAAAAAAAAAAAAAAAAAAACAAGAAAGAAAGAAAAAAAAAATGCCTAGCTCCACTGCCCAGCCATCTCTAGTCTCGAGGTAGTACAGGTTTGGGCATTCCTTATCTGAAATGCTTGGGGCCAGAAGTGTTTTGGATTTTGGATTTTGGATTATTTACATATAAGACATCTTAGGGATGTATAACAAGATATCTTAGAGATGGGACCCAAGTCTAAACATGAAATTTATGTTTCATATACATCTTATACACAAAACCCAGGGTAATTTTATACAATGTCTTTAATAATTTTGTGCATGAAAGAATTTTAACTGTGTTTCGGCTACCACTTGTCACACGAGATCAGGGCAGAATTTTCCACTTTTGGTCATGTTGTGGCTCAAAAAGTTTTGGATTTTGGAGCATTTTGGCTTTCAGATTTTTGGAGTGGGGATGCTCAACCTGTGTTTGGTAGCTAGGACTGTAGCATCTGGAGTGAGACAATATCGTGTTTGAGTTCCAGCTCTATGAGCCACGTGACCTTACGTAACTTACTCATTGGTTAAAATGAGAACATAGCAACCTCACAGGGTCTATATAAAGATTAAATGAGATGAAGCACAGAGAATCCTTAGCACAATTCCTGTTACATGGCAGCCTCACAAATTGTTTTTTCCACCATCATCACTATCATCATTTCAGCGAGGCCCAGGGAGGAAAAGGGCTCAGACTCAAAAAAGGATGAGGATGATCACTACAACCTTGCGCACTTCTAGCTGATCTCAGCCCCACCTCTTACTATCTTACCTTGAGCAAGTTACCTGTAAAATGGGAACAATAATAACAATAATAGTCACTACCTCATAGGGTAGTTGGGGAGATGAAATTTGTATATATATATATATGGGGTGGGGAGGGCCTTCTTAGGACAGTGCCTGCCTTAGCTAGTTAGCTACCATTATTATTTCCTTAATCCAGTACTGATCTGCACTGCTCTAGGCTGTAGAGAGGGGAGGGCAGGTTGGATGACCCTGGAAGTGTGTCAGAGTTTGAGTGGGGGCCTGGGTTCAGGGCTGTGAGAGGCACTGCTGCCCGCCGTGGCTCATAGGCCCCATGCTTTCTCTCTCCCCTGCAGATGTCCATGAAGGAGGTGGGTGATGGCTTACAGGATCAGATGAACTGCATGATGGGTGCACTGCAAGAACTGAAGCTCCTCCAGGTGCAGACAGCACTGGAACAGCTGGAGATCTCTGGAGGGGCTCCTGCACCAGGCAGCCCTGAAGGTCCCAGGACCCAGCTTGAGCGCCCTTGTTGGGAGGGTGGCAGAGGTCTGGCCAGGCCCACAGTCCGCTCCCCCGCCAGTCAACCTTCTGTTGGCAGCAGCACCAAGTTTCCATCCCATAGGAGTGTCTGTGGGAGGGATTTATCCCCCCTTCCCAGGACACAGCCGCATCAAAGTTATGTTCAGCAGGGGTCAGAGCAAGTGGAACCAGATGACTGGACCTCCACGTTGATGTCCCGGGGCCGGAATCGGCAGCCTCTGGTGTTAGGGGACAACGTTTTTGCAGACCTGGTGGGCAACTGGCTAGACTTGCCGGAAGTGGAGAAGAGTGGGGAGAAGGGTGGGAATGGGCGGGCACATGAACCCAAAGGAGAGAAAGGCCAGCCCCAGGAGCTGGGCCACAGGTTTGCCCTGACAGCAAACATCTTTAAGAAGTTCTTGCGTAGTGTGCGGCCTGACCGTGACCGGCTGCTGAAGGAGAAACCAGGCTGGGTGACACCCGTGGTCCCTGAGCCCCGAACCGGCCGCTCCCAGAAGGTCAAGAAGCGGAGCCATTCCAAGGGCTCTGGACATTTCCCCTTCCCAGGCACTGGGGAGCACAGGCGCGGGGAGAATCTCCCCAAAGGCTGCCCCAAGACCCTGGAGCCCTCCCCCTCAGGCTTTGATATTAACACAGCTGTTTGGGTCTGAGTCCTAGAGACAGAAAGTTGACTGAACCTGAAAGGGCCAGGTCCCAGTGCTGAGCCCCTGGGGAGGAGGGAGGGAGGGCGGTATGGCTCTCAAAAGCCCAACTCCAAGTTCCTTTCCCCAAGATGGGAGGGAGAAGCCAGAGTTCTTGGCTCAGGGCTGATGGGAATGTGGGTGGGAGAGAGGCTGTCGCAGGGGCTGGCTGGCGAAGGAGGTAAGAGTAGCTGGAGAGCTAGCTCTCTCGTGTGTGTGTGTGTGTGGGGGGGGGGGGTGTGGGTGTGTGTGTGGTGTGTGGTGGGTGTGTGTGTGGTGGGGGGGGTGTGTGTGTGTGCGTGGTGTGTGTGTGTGTGTGTGTGTGTGTATGGTGTGTGTCTGTGTTGTGTGCACACAGTCACTTTGGGGCTCGAGGTAACAGTAGGTGAGAGCAGGGGAGGAGACCAGGAAATCTCTCTGACATCTCCTCCACTGGCCCCAAAGACCTCCATTGAAGATTCTGTATGGAAAAGAGTCCTAGAGCATCAGGTTCCCCAGAGAGGCCCCCGAATAAAGACCTGTCTGTGGCTCCCCCAGCCTTCAGCTTCTTTGTCAAGACATTGCTCCAGGCACAGGGACTGAACCCCAGGCCTCCGGGGACTAGAGCAGCAGTGAGGAAAGCCCACCCGCCAGTCCTTCCTGCCTTGGAGGCTTCAGTCCATGCCTGGACCCCGGGAAAATGAGCTGAATAAGGATTACACTGTGTAAGGAACAGCTGGGGAAGCCCCAGACACTCCTGGCGTCTACCCCACTCACAGGGGAAGAAGAATGTTCACATAGCATTGGGCCCTTTGAATGCCTTTTCATCTCCATGGTCTCATTTGAAAGTGAGCTAGGTAGGCACAATCCCATTTTCCAGCTAAGGAAACAAGCCTAGATGTGCTACCTGTCCAGGAACAACTAAGGCAGGAGGCAGAACAGCCCAGGCCTGACTGCAGAGTAGAAGCTAGACCCTTGAGTTACCAACACCTCCCCCTAACAGTTCTTAGAGACCCCCACCCACAACCAGTCTCCTGCACTTAACTCCCGCCCGGGTCAGAACAGTCAATTCACCAGTGAGGCGAAGGTGAACCCAGAAGAAATACCCGCTTGATTTTAAAATTCCTAGCTCCATTCCGTGGCCTCCTCCCCACTAGGCGCAGCAGCCCCAGGCCTCCTGCTCCCTCCTCACCTAGAGGCGACTGGATTGGAGGGGAGGACCAGGCAGCAGCTCAGCTCCAGCTTTTCTTTTTTTTTTTTTTTTTTTTTTTTTT